TCAGCTTCTGTCGGACTAGTGGATTATATGTGTTCTTTCTGCGACAGAGGATGTGCTGCTGATGTTGAGTCTGTTCTGTGCTTCTATCATGTTGGAGATGGTTCATGTGAAACTTTTCAGAGATTATAAATCTGCAGGTCATACACACAGACCGTATAGTGGTGTGGCTTTGTATCTTACCAAAGTCGTACTAAAACATTTTGGTAATAAGGTAATACCGTATACCCCAGTAAAATTCTGAGAAGGTTTAACGTTAAAGTTTATTTATGCAGAACATTTTAATTAATAATCTGCTGCAGTGTAGAACTTGTACAATAGTGTTTGGAAACATTTGATCTGCGGTGGATTGCTTCTTCTGCTGATTAGAAACATCCCGAGCTCCCTCTGCTAAAGGAACTCATGGTTATGGTTATCGCACGGTTAACAGATAATGCAAAACTGAGCTTGAGTTCAGCCGAGTTGTTTTATTTTTTAATAAAAAGAAGGCAATATGTATTATTTCTTCCTTTATTTTACAGTTAGATTATTTTTGTAAACAGGGATTTTTTTTAAATGTCACAGAAGCACTTTCTTTCTACATGAACCGCCTAACTCTTCGCACAAATTTGGCATATTTGTTTTTGCAGTAGTTTTGGGGGGATTATTTTTCCTGTACAAATATCGAGATATAGCAAAATATATCGAGATATATATTTGTGCTCCATATCGCCCAGCCCTACCATGTGGCCTGATATCTGTGTAATCCCTCAGTGGTCCAGGTAGGTTTCATAATGGTCCGTGGGCGTATAGTAGTCTATGCGCTCTTATACAGCTCAAGATCTTCCTAAAGCCATTCAGGAAGGGTTCATTTCTGTCCTGTGAATGTGATTTCTTTAGCTCAATTGAGTATTTCGTTTCCATACTAGTCTCAGTATCCATTAGTATCTCCATTTTGATACTTCTGGCAATCTTAATTTGGACTGGACCAGTTATCAAGCTTTCCTGGCGTGCCTTTAAAACGTAGCGACTATCACAACCAAACCTCACAAATAAAATGCTCCATGAAATCTCTCTCCTGCTACTCACAGCTCAGTCAGTGTGGGAGTGTGTCCGTGAGTCTAGCTGCACACAGTTGGCATGGGGCCCTGTTCTCTTCTCGGCGTGCCCAGCCCCCACACACAGCTCAGAGCTACCAGCTGCACTGCACTCCAGTAATCTGTAAATCAGTCGCACGCAAAAAAGAGGAAAACACCAGGCGAAGGCAATATACCGCGGGGTTACGGTTATGGAGACAAAAGCTGGCGTGGTATTCTCCCGTAGCTGGCTAAATGTTTCGCGGTGTTTTTGTCGACTGCGGGCGATAACGCTGCCGTAGATATGGCGATGTTAAGATATTTTTGACCTGTTTGAACTGTTATGGTTGAGCGAAAAGAAAATCGGGTGCCTCATTGTGTGAACATCGAATGTTTGTGTTGTTTCTATATCGATACTAGAGACAGAGCGATATGGATTTTTACGATATGGCCGATACCGATTGTTTAGAATCCAGAGAAACCGATGTTACTGACATGTAGGGCCAATTTTTATTATTTCCCGCCAAGTTATGTAATGAAACTTTACTACAAACTCACCACCGTTCTTTTTTTGTTACCATAAATCTTAAACAGAGTAGCGGAGTCGTATTTTGTGCAGTTATTTCTTCACACTGAAATGTTCAAATAAAGCTTTATGTATACTCTTTCGTAGGTGTGTGCAAAAATATCAATATATCGTATCGTTTAATGTGATGATACAGTATTGATACTGTGGGCTGCTCTATTGATATATCACCGAGAGTATTTTTTTTGTATATTTTACAACTTTATTTTGTTACAGCTACAGTTTTGTTGCTTGTTTAGAGGAAGGAAATTTGTTTATTTGACATTTTCACTGTTTTGATGATTAAAATGTTTGTGTTTCATTTGAACTTTGCATAAGAAGTGGTTTAACAAAGACTTTTAGTATCACAGCCGTGATTTAGACATAATTTTTTTATTGAACCATATCGAATCGAAAGTGCACTGTATCAAAATGTGTATCGTATCGTGGCCTGTGTATCGAGGTATGTATCGTATTGGCAACTTCTTAATGATACCCAGCCCTACTAAACATCAGTACTACATTTCAGCCTCTGTTGGAGATTTAAGGCTGATAACCATTGCGCTAAAAAGTGCAACTATCGGTCGATATATCGGTCTATCTCTAATCGATACTGTGGTTTAGAGGCGATCCCAAGAACAGCAAATTTTGGAATAGAGATTACAAATGCATTTACGTCTTAAAAATCAATAATTAGTTCAAATGTGTATGTGCTTTTCTAGCGTCTAAGCTTTATGTCACACACCGGTGTACGCAGGCGAGAGGGTAGAGTAAGTGTTTTGCCCAAGGACACAGAAACAGTATTCATCTGTGGAAGCTGGAATCGCAACCTGTGTTTATGTCAACAGTGAGATTCGAACCACGAACCTTCAGACCAATACCAACTGAGATTTATAGCATTATAATTCACTGGAAATGTGTTATTTAAAAGTAACTTCTTCTTCAAGTAATCTGAATGGAACAGCAGAGTATAAATAATAGTACAAAACATTTTTATAGTGATTGATTGGCCCAACCTTGGACCAATATCCAAATCTCTGAATGAGTGACGGGTCGATTTAACCAACTGTAATGAAGTGTGAAGTTTCAGAAGGAGCAGATGACTTCAGTTATATAAAAAGACACTAAAATCCACATGACTCACGATAAAAAATAAGTCAAAATCATGATCTGGCCTGAGGAAAACCGTAATATTAATTCTTCGCCATATCACACACCCATGAATTCTTAATGTCCCTGTATAATGTGCTAAATTATACTTGATCATGTCAGTACTTGCGACGTCTTCATTACCGCATGTAGCCAAAAGGTAGATCGTAAAATTTGACGCCTTTTTTAATTCATGTAACACTAATGCAAAAGTGAGGCTAGATAGACAAGCAGGTTTGTTAACTGAGAGAGAGAATTATGTGTCTTGAAAGCGAATACACTAAACTAAATACGCCTTTTTTATTTTTTCGAGTGCAAAGCAATTCATCATTTTGATCTAGAGGGTTGTTAACAATTCAACAATCACTATTATCCGAGGACAACCAGATGTTTCACAGGTTTTGGGTGTATACATGTACTTCTGCCAAACATGACTAATACTAATTGATACTGAAACCAGCATTGAAAATAGATACTCAAGAACGTGACCAAATCTGACCGTTTTTGACAGTTTTGGAGTATTCTTGTTCAACACATGGATAAAACCACATGGTAACTTAAAAAAGCAGTATTATTATGTGCTAAAAATTACACTCTATTGTCTTGTCTATTTTTAAGAAACAGTTATCGAGTTTTGCGCCTTCTCCTTAGTACCGAAACGTTTGAAATCTTTCGTATTGTGACAAGACTAGTTAGTACGCAATCAGAGTCGATACCAGTATTTTTGTGTGACTTTTAACAGCATTGGTCAATATTTTCTTTGTGAAACTGGCCGCTGTCCACTGTAAACAACAAAGTATTCGGTTATCCTATCTAAGAACCTGTTCTCAAAAGCATGGAAGATCTTGGTTCTTATTTCAGTCTCTGCTCAAATCTCTTTTTTTTTCTTTTACACATAATTATTGCGATTGCGAGTCCAAACACAATCATGTAACCCAATAAACCACCAATATTGTACCTGAAATATCAATTAATCACCAAACTATCGCCAAATATCCAGCTTTGTCAGTTTTGATACCGATATCAATGCTTTCACTTTTAAGTATCTGCGAATACCTGACATACCAGTGCAGGGCTGGAAAACTAAATTTATTTTCTTAAAACACAAAACAACTTCTAACACAAGTGAGTCAGTTGAGTTATGCAACGACTAATTACTGAACAGCTTTCAATGAATAAAAGCTCAAACATTACAAGACGTTCAAGGCCAAAATTAGCCTGTAAATTATCTTATCAAATACAATTAAAGGCGAAAACAGGAAATTGGCTTAATCAAAACTACGAAACCAATACCTGATCCAGCCACATTTTCAGTATCAAGTATCTGTGCATATCAAATATTAGTAACAGCTGAAAATGTCCACGTTGAATCACTTCTTTGTACACAAATGTATCGCAAGAATAGACATCCTAGTGGTGGTGCCAAGCCTGGATAAACAGGGTGGAACGTGAACTTGTCTAGAAGAAAATAGCAGAATTGGTGATCCATTAATAGCCTATAGGAAGCAAGACTTACTGCCAAAACAACACTGAAGTTAATCATTAATGATCACAGGAATGTGGTAGTGTAAATAATAGGTTCCACAGAATATAGCTATTGCATAAGTAGATTATTGTTGGCTCAATGATTGGGCTAGTATCGAAAAACTAATCTTAAACTTGTAATGACTGACTATTGTGACACCGGTAATTATATGGCAGGAATTATAGTTCAATCCAGTGCAAACACAGCCTATAATATTCAGGTTGTATTGCTTATGCAGTGTGAGTAAAAAGAACTAGTATTTCAAAATGGTGATTTAACTTTAGACTCTTGAACAACATATAACCCAGTGTAAAGTAAGTAAACAAACCCATTATAAGTGACCTAAATAAAATAACTTGCTCACAAAATGAAGTAAAAATAGAAAAAAATTCAGCTAAAATACACTGATTTTTTGCAAATATTTTTAGAATTCTCTTGATAGTAATTATGTCTAAAAATATTACAATTACAGCCATTATGATAAGCTACAGTTGCAGGAAGGAAGCGCGCGCTCACCAACACAAAACCACGCACGAGCACTGCCCTACGACGCTGCCCATCCCCCATCCGCACAAAAAATAACAAAATAAACCCCGTAAATCGCGTAATAAGCATACCATTTCGCGTAAAGTCGTCCATAAGCGACTGTTACGCGCCGGGGCACTATTTATAACGCCAATTACGCACTTTAAAGCCGCTAAACACTCACCGAAAGCTCCAAGCCACACAAGGGGGGCGCCTTCTCCTCTGTGCTCCTAATATGGAATCTCCTCCTCCAGCGCCTTCGTTGTTTTCAAGCGCTAATTTCACCCCCAAAACGGCGTTATATCGGCCTCAGACTCGGCCACGCGGCGCTCGGGATGCCCAATGACCGACGCGCGCCCGAACCAGCGGCATACGTGGCGGTAAATCCGGGTTAGAGGGGTCTGGAAGGGGCAGTAGTGGTAAGATTGTAGCCGCGCTCGGATCGTAGAGAAAGAGCCAAGCGCTTCGGTAGCAGCCAACGGCTTCAGACTGAAACACGGCGAGGGGACCAGCCAGGCGCAAATGAGCGAGGGCCTCCGATCGGCTCTGCAGGAAGGCGCTCTCCTCTCCTCTCCTGCTCGCTGCCTGCTACATCAAAATGGTGTCGCAGTGTGGAGAAGGACAGGACATGGCTGCAGATGACAGGCAGCGCAGAATATGTGCCGGAACCGTGATCGAAGAGCGCGTGGATGCCTCCGAGTTGCGTTTATACCGGATTTTGATGCATAGATTAGTCGGTTTATATATCGATTACGCGCGCATGAAGTGACAATGCGTGCACAATGGTGATCCAAAAGCCTGTCTGGGTTATTACAGGACAAAGACACAAAATGCTACTGTAAATCTGGTTGTATAGCGCGTATGTGTGTGTCTATTGTCTGTTGGGGGATGGGCGCGCTGGTGAATGCTTGAATGTAATGCACAAAAGGAGCTCCGCCTCTTTGTTTTTGTTCAGCTGTCTGTAAAATGCATTGGCTGCAAACAGAAATAGATAGGTTCAATCTGGCAGCGTGCAGATGTAGGGCCATTAGAACTATGCACAAACCGCATAGGCTGAAGCTATTCGGAAATAGTGTTGAGAATAGCGTTTTTAAAGTTTAAATAGACGAACATTTCCGACAAAAACAACTCTTACACCAAAGCTCAGAGTGGATAATAAAAAAAAATTCAAAAGATAATAACTCCAGCCATTAAAGGTCAAGACACACTGTATGTATGAACACACTTTATACTCAATACCGATTCTGATACAACAATGATGATGAAAAACAATCTTTATTTAAACAATAGAATGTGATTTTCAACATTAAACCGTAGTATTTTCTTTTCTATTTACATGTGGCCTTTCAATGGGCGTATACTAATCTACATGGTCTTATACTTGTTCTGATACAGCTCAAAATCATTCCAAAGCTATTCAATAAAGGTTCATTTCTGTGTTTTTAGTCATGATACTTGTTCAAATGAGTATCCAGTTTCGATACTAGTCTTTAGTATCGATTAGTATCTGTTTATAAATACTTTTGACGACCCTAATCTATATAAATCTCAATACCGTAGGCCTATTGATGTCTGACATTCAAGCATTCAACTGCCCGAACACTAAACAGTCTCTAAAATATTGGATATGGGGTCGTATACTACGGGAGCCAGGCTGGCGCCACCTAGTGCCTCGACTCACGACTCGGTGAGGAATCAAAATACAATAGACGGTTCGCAAAAACCCCGGACGTGCAAGTTTTGGCACCAGCCAATCAGAGAAGAGTGATATATTCTGTGTTGTCAGCGACTCCCGAGATCGACGATTTAAAGCTGGAATAAAGAGAATGTTTGGTGAATTTCATCAAGGGGAAAGACGTTATTGCCATTGTTCCTACGGGATTTAGGAAAAGCTTAATATATCAGTTAGGCCTGTTAGCGGCGCATTACATATGTCACAACCAAATAGCAGCGATTGGTTAAATTAAAAAAAGTACCCGTCTACCGTCGAGCAAACGAAATCTAAGGCTGCAAAGTCAGACGGTTTCTACGAAGTGAAACCAGCTGATGTATCGGGCTAATATTACGTAAAAAATGACTTGTGTTTTGTTTCATTCACACATGTTTAAGTAATCCTATATTATTAGTCTGCCTACATCTCCAAAGTTCAGAATGCTCTGTTCCACCTTGTGATGTCATGAAGCAGTAGTTTTCAAGTTAACACCTACTTTATAACTTTTCATCAGTAGAGATTGGCTGGAACTAGGGATGTAACGATATCCAAATCTCACTCTACGATATTATCACGATATGCATTTCACGGTACGATATTTATTGCGATATTTTGGAGATGGGAAACTTTTATACTTTTAAAATACAAGGTTTTGGTGTGAATTATTTGCATCAAAATCCCAAGAATTCAAGTAAAAAACATATTTCTTCATGTTTTCTGCACTGAAATGAATCATGGGATATGCAGTTCCCTATGCTTATAAGCTGTTACTACAATTGTGAGACTTTTGACGATACGATATCACGATATTTCGGTTATTGTTACATCCCTAATTATAACACAGATCAGAAAATAGCCTAATACGAGCCCTTTAAATGTGAAAGTAGCTATATTTGAACCCAAGATTGATTATTTTCTTCCCCAGCCTGGTATGCGTCATGTATTTATTTTTAGCGACAATGGAATTTTGATAGTTTTTTAATGACTTGAGATGTTACTTTCGAAGGATGAAGTCGGATTAGTTCAGATCTAGACGCCAAGAGACAGGAGAACCGAAAATATACCGGTATCTGAGCGCGTCTTTGGCTGTGTGTCGGAGCCCGGTTGTAAACAGTGTGAGTGTGTGCTGCCTGCTGTTGATGTGCGGCGTTAGCGTCTTCTTGTCATGCCGCGCGCCTCTCGCTCAGATAACGCTCCGGCCGGGGAGGGTGGGGGGGGGTGGAGTGTGGGGTGGGGGGGTGTGAGCTGTCGCCACGGTAACGGCACAGGCCTGATAATGACTGCTCATCACAGAGGTGTACGGCGCCTGGGTACAAATCACACCGGGAGGGTTAGAATGGAGAATCCTGAATGGGGTATTTACTGTGGAATTGGGATCATATTTTGCAGTTTTTCAGAGTGCCTAGGTCTAATTCAGGGGTAAATGCTCTCTCCATTCCACCTAAACTTACAATTAAAAGGCGCTGTACCTGATTTTTTACCATCTTTAAAATGTGAAAGTGTAAATGTTATTCCAGGGACCGAAGTTATACATCACTTACCCTTTTGTGTTCTAAAACTCTCAGAGACCAGAGCAGAGTTTTGCCGTGACAGTAAAGCTTGCAACAACTAGCATGCTAACATGTACTTCCTGATTATCAGACCATCCATTTCATACTGTGTAACAACTTAAAAACCCTCTTGACTTAACCTGAACCTAAATACAATGTCATTTCTTGCTACTATCACAGGTTTTTACGCAGTGTTTACATTTTACTTCAAGGTGCCCTGCAAAAAAAGAGACTGCTAACCAACAACTAGCATGTAACAGCACACTTCCTGCTTATCGGTCTATTACATTACTACTGTGTAAAAACCTAAAAACCCTCTAAACGTACCCTAAATCTAAATACAATGTCATTTCTTATTATTATAGGTTATTACGCAGTGTGTTTGGTGCTGTAGAAAAAAAAGGGACTGCTAACAACAATTAGCATGCTAACAGCACACTTCCTGATTACTGGATCATTACATCCTGTGTAACAACCTAAAAACCCTCTACACTAACACCAAAACTAAATACTATGTTATTTCTTGTTATTATTACAGGTTATTATATATTGTGTTATGTTGTACTTCAAGGCGCTCAGCAAAAAAAGGGACTGCTAACAACAATTAGCATGCTAACACGCACATCCTGATTATCAGACTACTACATACCGTACAACAACCTAAAACCCTCTAAATTTAACCAAAAACCTCTATACATTGTCATTTCTTGTTATTATTACAGGTTATTATGCAGTGTGTTTGGTGCTGTACAAAGAAAAGGTAACTGCTAGCGATAACTAGCATGCTAACAGCACACTTCCTGCTTCCCTGGCAAACTAAAAAACAACACAGTTTAATTATTAATTGGATGCAGACATGGCACAACAGTAGCTGAATCTTAACCGCTTTCACAGTAGGCCGACATCTGTTGGGGGGAAAAAAACAAATTAAAATCAGGAACAGTCACCACAGCTATTTGCACAATCAAGACTTTTTTTTTGCTTTTTTTTTAACAACAAATATTTGAGTTCTTTTTATTCTGCATTTCTTTCACAGCTAAGATCCAAGATGTTAAAGTCAAAGCAATCAATCCTAACTGAGTCGATCTAATTGATTAACAACCAGGAACTGCTGTAAAGATCTGATTGGTCAGAATTAACCTCATTAAAACCTCATCTTTTTAATTCTTGTTCTATAAGCTCCGCCCACAGAGGAGAAACGCCAATAGTAATTAGCCACCTCTGCTCGATTGCTTAGGCCTTGGCGTCTTGGATCTTTGCTGAGAACTTTTTGACCACAAATTTTACACTATGAATTTTGATTGTTGAATCTGAGTACTTGAAAATATTTGTGCTGAATATTTAAAAGGCAATTTTTTTATTTATTTTTTTGATATTTTAAACACATTGGACATATTGTTTCATCTGATTTTGAAATTTAAATGCAGCTGAAATTCTCATTTAGAAATTTTTAACTGCGTAAAAGCAAGTTTGAATGATTGATGAATTTTTGTTCTGAATTTCAATTGCCATATTTTTCGGACTATAAGGCACACTTAAAATCCTTTAATGTTCTCAAAAATCAACAGTGCGTCTTATGTTTTAATTCTGGTTGTGCTTACTGACATCGAACTGATTTTATGTGGTACACTGTGAAACACAAAAATCTGTGAAAAATCGCTTTTTTTTTCAGCGCTTATAGTTTATGCAAATTAGCCATGTGGTTTTAAGTTTTGTGTCTGTAAAACGTAAACAAATGTGTGCAAAGCTGCATTAAACACATTATTACTCAATGTATATTTGGGTCCTCTTCGTAGGAAATAAAAAAAAAACTAAAATTTAATTATCCACCTACATTCACATTCATAATACACATTCACCAAGAGGCAACGCCGGGCGAATTATTCCACGATCTGAAAATGGATCATGGATGCCTGGGCTAAGGGATCAGTCTCAAGTGTCGTCTGTTTGTTTCGCTTAATGCGCCTTATAATCCGGTGCACTTTATGTATGAAAATAGATGAGAAAAATCAACGTTATTGCCTTATAATCCGGTACACTTTATAGTTCGAAAAATATGGTATACTTAAAAACTCAACGCAATTGAAATTTAGAACAAAATAATTCAAACTTGCTTTTACACAGTTAAAAAATTGTAAGTAACTTTCCAAATCAGATGAAACAAATGATCTTCCATATTTTTCACACTCATATTCTCAATGATTTCTTCCTTTACTCTATTGTTTAGCGGTTTAACAATGCTCGGCCTCTCCACCGTAGCCTGCAGCCCCTGGGTCCATGTGTCTGTGTACAGTAGATCTGATGGAGGCAGAGGTAATGGTCTTTCTCCGGCGGTGGAGCCATAACTCAGCCTGGCCTGACTGCAGGGAGA